GTGTGATGAACTGACCTCAGGCCCCATTCCCGGTCCCCCTGTGCTACTGGAGGGAAGAGGTAGAAATTGGTAGAGAAGTTAAGCCCGGGAGGCAGGGAGGTGTTGGGGGAGGTGTTTTAAGATTTGGTTTTATTTCTCATTATCCTCTGATCTGATTGATAATAAATTAAATTTGTTTTCCCCCCAAAGTCAAGTCTGTTTTACCCATGCCAGTAACTGGTGAGTGATCTCCCTCTGCCCTTATCTCCACCCACGAGCTTTTTGTTATATTTTTCTCCCCTTGCCCAGTTGAGGAAGGGGAGTGACAGAGTGGGCTTTGGTGGGCATCGGGCACCCAGCCAGGGTCAACCCGCCACAACTGCCAGTTTACTAGAAGTCTGTTTTCCAAGAGTAAGAATTTTGTAGTATCAAAAAACAAGTGTTAGACTACCATTCTTTGTGAAGTTATAGAGGTGTCTCTCCATAATTCAATTAGTTTTCTCGGTTTTAATTTGCCTTTACTTATGAATGAATGTGAAATAGAAGCCTTAGTTACTTTTCTTCATGCTTTGAATTTTCCTTTTCACTTTAAATTATTATTTCTTACTTTGCTCTGATAAGAGTTTGTTTTATACAGCCCATATTCCCTCCCGGTGAAAAGACTCATTTTGTTAACTATCCAGTGTAAAGTAGCAATATTTCTTTTTAGATCTGAACTGGGATCTTATGTAAAGATTTTACATTTCATAAAATCTAGATATATGATGCTGAATTAAATATTTCAGTTACCTCCCTCTAACCCTATCTAACACGATAGTGAGTTTTAATAAACTTAATCATGTTTGGGTGATCCAGGCATCTGACAGACTTATTTACCAGACAAATTTTTCATAATCTGTTTGGGTTTTGGCATTTTTTTAATTTTTTTTCCCCATAGGTACTTTACAGGCTTCTAAGCATAGAGGAAGTAACTGAAGTATCTCAGAACACATTTTATAATGCAAATTATACTGCAACTATAATATGTACAAAACTTTTGATTTATGATATAGCATCAATCTGTAAACTGTACTAAAATTAGGCAGCGAAAATAGTGGAATAAAGCTTGAAAAATGGTGGATTAAAGCTGCTCAGAAAGTAGTATTTTATTTTAATAACTGAAAAAATACTTTTTGAATGTAGTTCAAAATATATAGTGTACAAACAAATCATAGTCTGTTGTTCTTAGAAAGGACACGGTGATTATTTTGCATCAATGTTATCATTCAAGAGCAGAGATGGAATTAGAAATACTTCATAGTAAAAAGGGAATATGAAAGAGAGCTGACCTGTTGCCTTATGTGTGATCCAAGTTTGTCACTCTGCCTACTGGATTAAATAGTCTGGATTTCATTGAACCTATATGTAAAATTTATTTTTAAATGAATTGTTCCTCTCAAGGGTCAAACTTACAGATTTCTTTTTATGACCACATATGCTGCATATATGGAATCACTAACCAGTGCTCCTGCAAATTACTAGAAATAATTGCATAATTTTGATAAATAAAATGGTTTTGTTTGTATGTTTCTTTGTATATGAACAGTTGAACATAATCTGAAAGATATGTGACAGATATTTATCAAATGTATCTAGTAGAGATTTCTTAATTAAATGTACACTATTCAGAACAGTGGAACACAGGTTGTGGCTGATATTCAAGCATTTGCATGGTGATGGTTTATTTCCAACTGAGCATTGATCAATAACTTATTTCTGTTGATGTAAGAGTGAATGGGCAGGTGTACCTGGAGTACTTTATAAACTCTTACAAAAATAGGAGAAGTTAGGGCTTACTGAAGGCATGTGGGAACAGGAGTTATTATCTCAAGTATTTGGATTAATCAGGTAAGCCTTTAAAGTTTAACCAATAAAAATTGCTATGGAGAAGGTGGAAGCGCCTTAACAATATAGCATAAAAAAGTGAAGAATATTATTATCAATGGTAATTCATTGCAAAACAAATTTTTACATTAACATCATGGATTGTTGGAGAATTGTCAGAAAACCTGGCATGTTAAACAAAGGTTGTGGTTTGTGGTTTGCTTTTCTTTTTCCCCTTTGACAGAGGATGGATGAATACAACTATCAGTAAAGCAGGATGGGGCTGTATGTTTTCCATATGCAGTAGCAGGTTGGAAGGTACTGTGTTAGTATGGAATGGGTGACGGACAGCCTTCTCTTATTCACAGTTCTTTATTTCAGACCACCAGTTAGTAGGGCATTGCCACAGCCGGAGAAACTTCAGACAAATAATGTTGGGAAAAAAAAGAGACCTATAGAGGTAAGAAAATCATCCATCTCCTCTTCCTCTTCTTTTAGGATTTTTTTTTTCTTTTGCCAGAAATTGACACATTTGTGGACACAGTAAATGATTGTTTCACTTTAAATGTATTAAAGATGGAAATATTGAATAGTGAGTAAATACCAAAAAAAGTGGGAGAGAAATTTTTTTGTAAAACCAAAAAAGCCTGATATTACTTTTTCTTGCAGACAAAAATGGCACACACCTTAACTCTTAGTAACACTAAAGCCTTTTACATGCAGTGTGTGTAAAGCAATGTGTCCTGTTTAGATAACTTGATTGTTAGTGGGTGTATTATTGCTAATAAAACTAAGCATCTTTTACTGTAGTTTTTTTTTTAATTTATTTTAAAACTTTGTTTAAAATTCATCATTGTTAACAGTTTTAAAAAGAAAATAATTTGTTTTAAAAGTATCAATTATACCTTTGGCTCAGGCACCTGTTTGTTGGGGTTTTTTTTCCCATTACATAGCCAATGCAATTAAACTCACTTTTGATTAATCTGAAGTAGAAATTTAATCTAACCTTGAAAAATGCAATTCTTCCTATTAATTGGAACATTTTCTATGATATGAAACAAAGTATTTGGTGTAGCATAATAAGTGACCCTTTGCCATCAGTGTTCTAGAAGTTTTAGGTTGTCATTCAGCTTTCTTAATTGCCAGATGGAATTAAATTGTGGACCAATGTGTGTCATTCTTTGTCTCTTAGTATCTTCTGCATCAAAAGAGCTGTGTTCTTGTCTCACTGTAATTTATTTATTTATATGCATGTGTATGGGTATCTTTTTCTGTGTGTGCATACGTGTGTGTGTATACACATATAAATACACTATCCACCAAGCAGAGACGATAGGATCACATGACTGTGTATGATAAGATAGAGCAGCAATGTAAGCTGACAGGGAAGGCAGGATCTCAGTTTTTGTTGGTTTGAGACACACTAAACTCCTTTTGCTTTACTGCATAAGGACATATTTGAAAAACAAAATCCTGGAAAAGACTGTAAAGTTCATAATTACTTTAAGGTTTTGAGTATCTAATAGATATAAATAATGTTTTTTAGGACCTAATTTTGGAACTGGTATTTGGATACCGAGGGAAGGACTGCAGAAACAATGTGCACTATTTGAATGATGGTGCTGATGTAATATACCATACTGCGTCTGTTGGGATCTTGTATAATGTGGCAACAGGTAGGAGAACCCACTTGAGGAAAAATGTTTCTTCACACACATTGCATTACAGTTGATGAAGTAACTGGTATGCTTTAAATCTTATAAAAGTATATGGGAAAAATATTTGTTGCTGAAAATTCAGTCTTATAGAGATGATTCATAATAGCTGCATAAGCAAACTAAATATATTGAAATGTTTCTGGTGACTGAATTTTGAAGAAAATAAAGATTTGATTAGTTTGGTATTAGCTTTCTGAAATTTGCTTATTAAAATGATCAGAGAAACTAAAACAGCTGAACAATGGGGTCATTATAGTTGCTTAATGTTTTTTCTAAGACTAAGTTAATTATTTTTTATTTGGTTTACTTTTCAGTCCTCCGTGTCACATACATTCATTCCCAGTAACCAATCTAGTTTAGATAACTTAGACCTTTTAAAGAATAACAAAATGCTATTTGTTTCTGTGATACTTAAGCAACCTAATGTCGAAAACTTGAGGGAATAGTTCAGTGTTATTGAGTGCTATGTATATAAAGATAAAAAGTTTGGAGTTTTATGATTCCTGATTGTAAGCTCCAAATTGCAACATCTCCATAATGCTGTTTTCTGACAAATATTATAAAATTTTCAAACATTAACCATGTCTATGTGTATATATATTTTAATTAAGGTTGGATTTTATTTTTTTTTAAGGCTCTCAGTCTTTTTACCAGGAACACAATGATGATATTTTGTGCCTCACTGTAAATCAGCACCCCAAGTTTACTAACATAGTGGCAACTGGCCAAGTAGGTATGTTTGTGTTTTTATAAAAATAAATTAAAATAAGAGCATGCAATTAGGGCCCTGTGAGTTCATGATAAATCACAAAAATACTGGATTATGCTATCTCCGTTTGTATGAGTGTTACTCAGTTACCTGTCCTCTTTACATGTTTATTTAACTGTAATTGAACAAAGTTGAACAAAAAACATTGAGGCATGAAAGAAGATTAAGCTTATCTTTTGTTTGGAATATTATCAAAAATATTTTTTTACAAATCTTAAGCCCCGTGAAATTAGTCTGGTTTTATTTAACTATCAGCTTGTGTTAGGCCTTCCAAAGAGTCATAGCCCTTCCAAAGAAGCTTAATTGAGCTGTCCTTCATTTCTATATTGACTAAACCCAGAATTCTTAAAATAGATGTCACTTTATGTAGGTTTTATCTCATCAGGTAGATTTATAATACTTACTTGGTGTTTTGATAATACAAAGTTGTAGTATTCTAGGCAGAACCAAAACCCTAATGGTGTTTCGCTACAGATTTAGGGGGAAATATATATGTTTCACAGTAACATTAAAATTGACCTATGAACTAACCAGGTTAAAAAAAAAAAAGAAAATAAAAAACCCACTGTGCATCTGCATAGCTGAACTAATACTGCTGTTTCTAAATTGCAGAATAGTGTAATTTTTGTAGTCCTACAAACCAATAGCAGTTTTCATACCTTCACTTGTTTCTCAGCAGATTCAAAACCACATTCTTTTCCTTAGTGCATGGAATACAAAAAAACCCCTTAGTTTGTTTTAGCCAGATTACTGTGGTTTTGTTCTTTTCTCCCTATAGGTTTGTTTTAGATGTTTCATCTAAATACAGTCAGTTTGTCAGCATTTATTACCTGCTTCCCTCTGTCTTTTGGATTTGTAGGTGCACATCTCATTAAAATTGACTCATTGATAGTAGTAACTGCTCAGCTAAAATATCTTCATTTCTTAATGAGTTTCTTGCCTCACATCAATTTAAAGAAATCATTAATGGAAATTATTTAAATGGGAACAATTATTGGCAGATTTTTGCCTGAGTTGATTGCAAAGAACATTTGCAGGAATTATAGACCTTTTATTGTCTTTAAAAATTTGCTTTTTCAGTGTATTTCTTAATCTGGCCCCGTTTGCCTTTCTATATGATAGAATACATGGGAAGAATGTAGACATAATGTGAAAATTTGTTCTTTGCGTGGATTTTCTTCAGTGTTGGTCTTGCGCAAGAAGAAACACAGGACCCTTAATGCTTTTTTATTTCATAATATTTTCTGCATCAACTAGCAGTAGAACAATTTAAACTGTTCTGTAATGTGGATTAAGGCATACAAATGAGGAGCAGATGACACTTAAAAATTAAACTTCAAAACATATTTTTAAGGAGAGAATTAAATCTGAAAAATGAGCTGGAAGCAAAATACCTTCAAACAATACTTATTTTTAGATTCTGAACAGATGTCAAGGAGCACATACTCCATAAAGAACATACTTGACTGCTGCTACTTTTCCTACTGATATGACTAGCACAAACATAGCTTCACCATCATGATTTAAATCTTCAAAAGATTTACAGAAACATTATTTCAAGTATTTTTAAACTATAATGCTGTTATGCAAAGTCTCAGTAACACTTCCCAGTACCTGAACTTTTATAATCCTTATTTCTCAATGCTCCTATAGAAGAATATTGGGTATATTTGCCATTTGTCAAGATCAGACTCAAACATTACCTCTTAGCAGAACAGCAATCAGTATATTTTTTTTCACTTAATTTGTTAAAATATCAGTAACCTGTAAAATACGGTTTTTATTTAGTTTGGTAGAGAGAGACCTAACATACACCGATTTTTGTTTGAACTCAAAATGGAAATCAAAGTATATTAATTCTATGAGTTTTTATTTCTGATGTGACTGGCTTTTATCAGTAATTGTTAATCTTTCACACTAAAAGCAGAGATGACATCAAGGTGTGTGTTAAGAAATTACACTAAATGTGGCATATATTTTCTTTAGCACTTATCTTATTTCTGGTCTAATTATTTTTCTGCTGCTTTTCCATTACAGGAGACTCAGCAGATATGTCAGGTAAGGGAAATAAATTTTAACATCTTCAGGTGTAGTTAGCCTATCTAGTAGCCGTCTACAGCTTTATAGAACAATAAGTGATGTGAATTCATTTTTAGTTTATTAAAACCCTGTATCAGTAATATTACTGTCAGCACTGAATATAAACCACAACAGCTCAGCAAACTGTAAATATAGAAACAATTAAAATATTAGAACACACTTAAATACTACTTGTGTTGTAACATACTCCCTCCTTGCTGCCCAGTGATTAGAGAGTTCTAATACATACTCCTACTGTAACATTCCTATGGATGCTTGCAGGTTTTATAGACATGTTGGGGCTGACAATTAACATTTCTTCTAGACACTCAATTGAGTATAATTTTAAATATGCATTTCTAAAGTAAATTTCATTGAGGAGGCCTAGGTGACTGAGTGAAATAACCATTCACCTTTCACATTTATGTATGATTGTCATGCAGTTATTACCACTGATCCAAAATGCTTGTTATGATGTCAGTTTAATTTTTTCTGTATCATTTTGGGTCTTTGACAGTCTTGACTGAGATATTTTTTATTAATATGTTATTTTTTTCAACTGTAATCTTAAAAATTCATCACCATCATGTGTGACTGAGTTCATTGTTGAGCAGCCATAATTGTTGTAACACATCTTCAGAGATGCATAAATGTGTGTTCACGTGTACCTAGAAAGTACAATAATCTTCATGTGGATCTGAAGCTTGTTCTGTGAAGAACAAATGTACAATGGCATTTTTAGTGTGTGTTCGCTTCTTTTAAATATGCCAAACTGTGCTTGCTCTAAGGATGGGTGGAAGAATATAAGTACCTTTTCCCTCATTTCTAAACTGTATAAAAGAAGCAGTGATGATGTGGTTGTCTATAAAGAACATATCTCTAGTCCTGCATATAATGCTTGTAGACTCTCTGTCTAACTTACCTTCTTCCTGCTGCAACTTCAGTTTGAGGTTGTGTATATTACCAATTCTGCTTTCACTGCCTGAAACCAGCACTCTTACTTTTTTTGTCTTTATGGAAGCATTAGTCTGGAATCCAAGCTGCTGCCTGCCTTTACTAGAAAGTTGCATAGTTTCACTTCAAATTTATCAATGGATATTTGCACCTTTCTTACCAACAACTTTTGCTTTTCTAGTTCCAGTTTTCTGTTGTCTGCAGTGATGCAGGGGTTCTTGAGGCTGTAATGCTTGTAATAAGGCTGGAATGGCAAATTAAGTTTCATCATGACTTGGAATAGATTTGCTTCATCTTATTGAAGATATTTTTTGTCCTGCTAGCCCATGGTAGCTTTATCTAACTTCTCCCAGGAGGAGCTGACACCTTAGAAAGTATCTTTTGTGAGAGCAGATGTTGAACAGCTGGAGTGTTCCACAAGCAGGACACAATGTCAGGACAGAGACTTTCAGAAGAACACCGTCAAGTAGGAGGACTCAAGAGTCCATATTCTCTGTCCAGCAAATCTTGCTCTGAAAGATTTTGTCAGTTCTTATTCATGAAATCTAGGTGAAAGTTTCTGTCTGACACCCAAAAGAAAAATTTTGGACAAGGTTATAGGAGACGTGCACAGATCAAGGGCAATACAGAGTTTTACGATGGGAAGTGCTGAAGAAGAAAAAACAGTTCAGAGCCATAATAAAGCTTTCCCTTTCTTCACCTTTCCAGGAGGACACCAAGGAGTTTGCTGAAAATTTTGAGACATGCCAGTTGTTGCCAACCCCTTCCCTTTCCGTTTTAACGGCATGTCTATACTATGCTGTAGTACCTCTCAAAAGGTGATGATAACAGCATGTTGGTGCCACAAGAGGAAATTCCAATGGGAAACAGAAGAAATTAGGAAGGTTCTAAAGATTCTAAAGACTGTTTTGGAACAACTGTGTAATTGTGCTCAAAAATTTAGTTTCATATGGCAAAAATTTTACCTAGGTCCCTGGGCCTACTGTTTCCCATCGTATGTGTGCCTTTGAGGAACTAGATTTAGCTGATTAGAAACACAAAGCACAGAGCAGAAATAGAATTTAGTTTACGTGACTCTGGGTCTATGACAATAATCAGTAACCTCCATACTCTGCAGTCAGATTTACTAGAGATTGGAAGTAGAGAAGTTTGAGAGAGAATCTTACTGTCCTGGAAATACCCTAGATGATATTAAGAGATTGCAAGCTATACACAGATTGCAAAATCTCTGGAGAAGGCATTGTATTTGGGAAAAAACTGATTGACATCATAATAGAAATAATCACATACATTAGTAGCATGGAAATACAGTTCTTACTGCAAAGAGCTTGCAGTCTAAACAATGCAAACTAAATTAAATACCCTAGTTCTTCTACATAACTAATCAAGCTAATCAAGTAATCTCTCCTAAGAGAGCATGCACTTCAGACAGATGGCCATTTTGTAGAAAAGAAGATTTTGGTCTTGCACTGTATAGTAGTTTCTCTGTAGCTATCAGTTGTCCAAAAGCCCCATGTAGAAATCACGTTCTTGATGATCTACTCAATATTTGTGACGGTTTTTGAGTTAGCATGCTGAGCTAAGTTTTCCTAGGAGAAAAACAGAGGAAGACAGCTTGCTTTCAGAGCTTCTGCTGTGCTTCAGAAGTCCAGTAACAGGTTGAGCAGAGTTTTCATCTCCAGTAGTGTAATGAGGCCAACTTCTTGGTCCTACTTAATGTTCCTGTTTGATGTAAATTGGTTTCCAAAGGGAGGCCAAAATCTCCTTCCTTTCTTCTTTTTTTTTCCTTCCAACCAGAACAATTTTATTTGTCTTATAAAAAAATACTAACTGCCTCAATAAGCAAATCTTTAGACATCTTCAAAATGTAAACTAATTAACTGTTTTATGCTTGTGCAGCTACAGCTCCTTCTATTCATGTGTGGGATGCAATGAACAAACAGACGCTGTCAGTACTGCGGTGCTACCATTCAAAGGGCGTTTGCTCAGTCAGTTTCAGTGCCACTGGCAAACTGCTGCTCTCCATAGGGCTGGATCCTGAACATACCATTACCATTTGGAAGTGGCAGGAAGGTAGGGAAGTAATTGGTTTTGTAGAATGTGTTTTTATTGTTAGAGGTATGTTATTGTTAGAGTAACTGTAACATAAAAGTATCAGCAGATTGAAAATTATTGCTGTAAATGATATGCAATATGAACATATGTACAAAAAGAGGTAAAATACATGTACTTACCAATTCTAGTAACTGCTAAATATATCTCCTTTGGAACTGTTGTGTAAAGATCAAGATAGTTCACTGATTTCCAGTTACAATAATTAAAGAAAATGGTACCTTTCACTTTTTTTTTTTTATTTCAGTCAGAAACTTCTTTACAGCGAGGGTGACGGAGCACTGGAACAAGCTGCCCAGGGAGGTTGTGGAGTCTCCTTCTCTGGAGACATTCAAAACCTGCCTGGACGCCTTCCTGTGTGATCTCATTTAGGTTCCTGCTCTGGCAGGGGGATGATCTTTTGAGGTCCCTTCCAATCCCTAACATTCTGTGATTCTGTGATTTCTTTGCTTCTTGGTAAAAATTCTTTATAAAATCTTTTTTGCTCCCAGAAGAAATTTTTTATTCTTCTCTGTGGTTATTCTTCTCTGAAGTCTGATTACTGACTAGGCTGTTATACTCATAAAATTATCCCCCCAAAATTGCAAATTGCAGAAAGGTGATACCAGTAGAGCTCCTCTGTGCAGCTACATAATTGTTGTCATGTTTTTGGATTAGCTTTGATCTGAGTTCAGGATTTAGGCTAAAGCAATTTGGTCAGCTCCTTTCCTCATCGCCTTTCTGTCTGGCGGAGCCATGCCGGGATTATGCAACTGATTTCTCTAGTTTTAGGAGCTTATTTCCTCTGTCTTTGGAACTTTCCATTGATCAACTAGTATCTCTCAGAAGTTTAAAGGTCAACTATCAAGTTAATAAAAAGTATATCCTTCAAAACGTGTCTGCTAGATGTTGTGGAGCTGGACACAATGTCAAATGTGTATTTTTCCAATCTTGGGTAGTAGGAAGAGTGTGTGGTACAAGCCCATGCAGCAATTCACTGCCATTTCAGTCAGAACGTGCCTGTGCTCGTTTGTAAGAGTTGATACAGATTGAACATAACTAAGGATCCAGATCAAGGGAACTTCATATGGGTCAAAATGTCAGATTTTAACACCTCTGAAGAGACTGGAAAAGCATTACCTTTGAATCTAAGACCGTATGTAATGAAGTCAGTTTCTGCATTTTCTGCAGAAAGAACAAAGTTTTTTAACTTGGGACAAAATCTGCAGAGAAGTCATTCATTAGTCTCTTGTAATTTGTTCAGAGTATGGGATTTTCAGAGGAGTCATAGGAATTTAATAGGAGATGGAAACTTACTTCGATCTAAGCTCCTAACTCTTTAATACTCCTGAGGAAATTGAAAATTCTAAATAGATGGAACCTTCATTATGTGCTACACTTTGTTGATGGGTCTTATTAAATGATTTTCTTTTCTTAATTGATCTTCTTTTCATCTTAATTTAGAAGTAGTTTGTGCCTTTCTTCATGACTTCTGTGATCTTGGATAACTCATCGTTGTCCATAATTTTAATATTTTTTTTTAACCATAAATATGTGTTTTTCTCAGTGAATTCATGATGTTTCTGCCAGGTGCCAAAATTGCCAGCCGAGCCGGTCATAACCAGCGTATATTTGTGGCAGAATTCAGACCAGATTCAGATACCCAGTTTGTTTCTGTGGGAGTAAAACATGTGAGGTTCTGGACACTGGCTGGAAGAGCTCTTCTCAGTAAAAAAGGGTTACTGAGCTCCATAGAAGATGCCCGAATGCAGACGATGCTATCAGTAGCTTTTGGAGCGGTATGTACCTTAACAAACTATTTTAAAATGCACACAAACAAAATTTTTTGTATTCTTCTGCCTTTATTCAGTTCAAAGAAATTTTTCTGAGCTGCCAATCAGTGTGTCAGTTGTTTTATTAAAATCAGTTTAGTGTTTTTAATACTTGCCTGCTAGTTAGAATTGATACCAGCTTTCTTTAGAACAAAAAAGAAAAAATGTTATGGATTTGTATGTTTGTTCAAAAGAAACAAACGTAGGTGCTTTGGACTGATAATATGCTGCTTGGTATTTAATCCAGGTAAAAAGAAGCTGACTCTAGACTGCAAGAATCAAATAGTAGAAATGAGGCTAATTTTATGCCCTCCTGGGGGTGATTGTATTACAATCTGTGCATTGCTACTCATGGATGATCTGAGAACAGCATTGTCCTGAGGCATTTGTTAACATCCATGACTGTTAGATGACTGCCACAGGCTTTTGTTTTGCTTTGAGTTTTTTTAATAGATGTGGGCCTTGTTGCTAAGTTCCACATCTTTGCTGTTTCAGGATTTGCTCTGTATGAGCAGCACTCGTCTCTTCAGCTGGGCAGATAGCCACAGATGTCACCAGTGAAGTGGTGCTTCTCTTTTATTGCGTGCATTACTGTCCTGCTTGCTGATCTGCCTGTTGGGTCCAGAGTGAATTTATACTATTGATTTTGATTTTTGAAACTGTAGCTGGCCTATGGTTTCATTTGTGGCGAGACTGTCTCTTTTCTGGAGTTGGCCTCTCTCTCTCAGGTAGCTCTGATTTAAGAGAGAGGCCTACAAAGCAATAAGATTTCTTCCAAATGATAATTGTTAGAGACGCACAGCCCAGACATTAGTCTGGAGCTTGGAAAACCTCTGTGAGCTTTCTTAGGGACATATTCTTAGCATGAAAATCAAGCCATATGCTGAATATCCTGGAGCAAGGTATGAGGTTGTTTGAGGATCCAAAGCTTGTGGGGGTTTTGTAAAAAGCTGGGCAAACTGAATAAAGCCAAACCTGGTGTGTTCTCCATACTTCCTGTAGGAAGCAGCTCTGGGAATGCTTTTCTTCCTTGATTTTGTCTCAGAAGGAGCTAGTTCTGGTGCTTCTAAAGAGGGGTTGGAAACAGCCCAGCAGTTATGCTGTGAGGATGATGAGAGGATCTGCTCTTGAGTTCATTTCCAGTCCTATTTTATTTGCTCGTTTATTAGGGCACACCCCCAACACCCCTTAAAGAAAGGATATAGAACATCAACCCACCTCAAGGAAGGTGCTCTTGCCAGATCTGTACATGTGTACGGGTACTATAACATTCTACACATTATACTGAATTTTGAGGAGTGTTCATGTAAGTTACTGAAACAGTTTTGCTCAATAACCAGTTCCTGTTGGTTTTAAATGTATCCTAATAAACTACCCTTAAATTTCAGAGGTAATTAAATGTATTTTTATTAACTCTGAAAAACAGGAAGCAGAAGTAAAGAAGAACAAGCAGCTTCTAGTTCTGAGATAAGTCAGACTGTTTTCTTCGTAAACTAATGGTTTACTAATTGTAAGCTAGTGAGTACCTTCACCTAACAACCAAAATGACTGCAAGCATAATGTACAAGGGGGTGCAAATTGCCTGTTTGTGTGAAATGTCAAAACTGTTCTTGGTTTTCTACTTTTTTACTGCAGTTTGCATACCTGATAGGCTGCAAACATAGGTAACCTTATGGCTGAAGCTTAAGTAATTGCATTTCTTCTTGCAGTGCAGAGTTTATTAGCTACAAGAAAGCATCTGTCAGACTTTGGG